GAAGCTATTGCTTATACTCATCTCAGCAACTCTAAACATGGGGGTGACTGTACCTTAGGGACCTTGGCACCCCAAGACCTTACTGTTATAAATATAACCATGGGTCCTGGGAGTCCATCTCTCAGCAGAAAAAAAAACGAGCTTTTGGTCTAGTAGTGGCTGGAGCTGCTGCCACTATAGCCGCTGCAGCCCCCTGGGGAGGCTTTGCCTATCATGAGGCCACTCTAAGGGAACTCACTAAGATTATAGAAGAAATCTCCAAAGATACTGCTGGTACTCTAGCTGGACTCTCAAGATCAGTAGACTCACTGGCAAATGTAGTCATGGATAACTGCCTTGCCCTTGACTATCTTCTAGCAGAACAAGGAGGGGTATGTGCTGTTATCAATAAAACCTGCTGCACCTATGTAAATAACTCTGGAATGATCGAAACTAACATAAAGAAAATTTATGAACAGGCAGAATGGCTACATAAGTATAATCAACAGGGCCAAGGGATTAAGGAAGCCCTGACCTCCTGGTTCCCTGGCTTAACATGGTTATTACCCTTCTTAGGGCCCTTAATAACACTGCTGGTTTTACTACTTTTAGGACCTTGCTTATTTAATTTACTTGTTAAATTTGTTTCTTCTAGACTTAAGCAGTTCCACGTCAAACTGATGACGCTCCAAGGTTTCCAACCAATCCCTGAGAACGATGTTGAAGCTGACCAACATACAGCATCTGCGGTGGCCTCAGGAATTCCTCTTCAACCCCTAGATAGAATAGGGCGAGAGTTCCGTGGTTCTCAATAGGCAGGGTCTACTGTCCAATCTAAGCCTGAAGCAGCTATGGAAGACGGATCTTCATCCTTCAACAACCCCAAAAAGATTTTTGAGAACCATGTCTCTCAGGGGGGAAGTTGAGGCAGGAGGTAGTCAGGAAGGAAGCTCCCGAGGCCCCGCAGGGCTGAGGGTAGAAAACACCTATACATGACAAAGACCCCCTAAGACGGGTTGTTCCTGTTTTCTGGGACAACTCTGAATCATAGAATGCGCCTGCGCGCTACCCCTGATTCATTATAATATCATTATAATGAAATAACATTGTGGGACTCCCTTCTCCAGTAGCCAATCAAGAAAGTCATGGGAAACCACGCATGCGCAGTAGCTTTGAAATCCAACTCCTTGTACCTGCGCAGGAAAAGCCCGCCAAAGACTAGCAGGGGGGCTTCTGCCTCTATAAGAATAGAATCCCCCCAGCCCACGTGCCCTTTTTTTTTCCTCTGCTCAGAGCTGGCTCACTCCCGTGTCCTGTGGTGTGTACTATCACTTAATAAACCTCCCCTCTTTCTTTATGCTATAAACTTTGTGTGTTCGGTTCAATTCTTTGTCCTCGATCACTAAGAACCTGGTTACCTGTGCACACCTGTGCACACCTGTGACACTGTGGGGAAGTAGGGACAGAAAGGGCCACTCTCTCTAGTGGAGAGTGCCTTGTTTCCATTCCCAAGCAGATTTTTATTAAGAATACAGACTTAGTTTGTGGATTCACAGTCTGGCAGAAAAGATCAAAGGAAGTAGGTGACTTTCAAAGGTGCAGACAGAACCCCCACTGTGATTCTGGGCAGAGTTTGGAGTTTTAACATTTGAAAGGACTAACAGGGCTCAAAGGGCTAGTTTTGGTTCCCTGTCTGTGCCTTCAAATTCTAAATCAATAACATCCTCCAGCAAACAGATCTCACAGGATCTTTCATATTTTATGTCCCAGGCCTGATTACCCCGGAAGTCTGCTGTCCCTGGTCTGAGCTGCACCATCCCTGCTATTTCCGCAGGTCTGAGTCAGGCAGAGGAGACAAAGGCAGCCAGGAAACTTGGATTTTTCACATCTAAGAACAAAGACTCAGGCTTTGACAAAGCCAAGGGGGCAGGGGTTGATGTCCATCACCCCTTCATTTCCATAGCCCCGAGTCTCTTCCCAGAAGCCTCCTTATGATCATGCCTGTCTTAGGCGATTCCCTCCATGGGAAATCTTACCCATCATTGGCTAACTGACCAAGCCTAGGAGGCCAGGCACAGAACAGGCAGCGTTCATGCCAGGGAAATAAGTTTTGTCTCCTTAGTGGCTCCTGGTCCAGAGGTTTCTCACTCAGCCTAAGTCACGGGGGTTACAGCTTCCTGAGACCAGGCAGGACAGTCCCCAACACACAGTGGCTGCAACAATCAGTATTGTCAAAAATATGTGTGAGGGTTTACTTTTCTCCACATCTTTGCCTGTACTTATTGTTTGTTGATTTGTTGATAACAACCATTTTGACAGATGTGAGGTGATATCGTGTTTTTAATTTGCATTTCTCTGATAATTAGTGACATGGAACATCTTTTCATCAGTCTGTTGGCCATCTGTGTGTCCTTTTGGAGAAGTGTCTATTCAGGTCCTTTGCCCATTTTTAAAAATTATTTTATTGTTGCTCAATTACAGTTGTCAGCATTTAACCCCCTCCCCACCACCACTTCCCATTTGCTCATTTTTTAATTGGTTGGGGTTTTTTAAGCATTTTTAAAAGATTTTATTTATTTATTTTTAGAGAGGGAAGGGAGGGAGAGAGAGAGAGAGAGAGAGAAACATCAATGTGTGGTTGCTGGGGGCTGTGGCCTGCAACCCAGGCATGTGCCCTGACTGGGAATCAAACCTACGATGCTTTGGTTCGCAGCCCGCACTCAATCCACTGAGCTATGCCAGCCAGGTAGTTGTTTGTTTACTTGGTGTTGAGTTTTACTAGTTTATAAATTTTTTATAGTAACCCCTTATCAGATAGATCATTGGTAAATATGTTCTCCCAGTGAGTGAGTTGTCTTTTCATTGAGTAAGTTGTTGACAGTTTCCTTTGCTGTGCAAAAACTTTTTGGTCTGATATAGCCTTATTTGTTTAGTTCTTCTTTTGTTTCCTTGCCAAAAGATATATATGAGAAAACATATTGTTACAAAAAATGCTTGATATTTTACTGCCTATGTTTACTTCTAGGATTTTCATGGTATCAACACTTACAATTAAGTATTTAATCCATTTTGACTTTATTGTGTGTGGTGTATGAATGTGGCCTAGTTTTATTATTTTACAGACATCTGTTTAATTTTCCCAACATAATTTATTGAATAGACTGTCTTTACCCCACTGTATGTTCTTGCTTTTTTGTCAAATATTTTTTGACCAAATAGGTGTGGTTTTCCTTCTGGTACTCTATTCTGTTCCATTGATCTATATATCTGTTTTATGCTCTAGAATTCATTATATTACTATAATGAAACTTTTTTGTCACAAATATTTTCAAAATGCAAAACCAAATAATACACTTTACCCCATAAATGAGTGATAAATGGATAAGATTGAACCTATGACTGTGATATTTTGAGGACTGTCAGTCACACATGTGTTATAAAAAAATCTAGACATCACCTCAAGGAGAAGTAAGAGATGTGCATGTCCCACCAGAGGTGACCATCATGAGTGGATTGGTGGCTCTCTCAGGGTCCACTGTTCTCATTCTGTTTGTCTGTCTCTCTCACAGGAAAAATTATCGTCACATATGTGTGTCTGCCTGAGGAAATCACATGTAAGTGGTCTACCAGGTAGGACCCTGGATGCACACCCTTGGTGCATGTGTCTCCCCTGAGAAGACTTCTGACGTCTTTATCTGTCAGCACATAGAGACCCTTCCATCTGCTTTAGAGCTGTTCAACTCGCCTTGTCCGTGTGGACCAGGATTCGTGGATGCATCCTCTCTCCATGGACATTGGTGTCTTTCCCAGGTCCAGGCAATTTCCCCAGTGCTCCAATGGGTAGCCAGGAAAATATGTCTGTGAAAAATTGTGCAGGAAGTGCTGTGGGGAGACCTCTTAGCATGAGCACTGCCAGGGGCACGTGTGCACCTGTGGAACTAGGATGGGTCCTGCACACTGTTCTCCCAGAGGAGGGGCCTTTCCCCCCTTCCCTCCAAGGGGTCAGCTGGGGCCTCTGCTTCCTCGCTGTATCCCCATGGCTGGTCACCACCAGACCAGAAGCCTGCCAGCCTGAGGGTGACAGTGCTCTGTTCCCAGTGTTGACAGTGCACGTGTTCCCATCATAGAGGCCGGGCATCTGTGACATGTAGACAGGTGTGCAGTGCCTCTCTCCGGAAGTACATGTGCATACTCTGTCCCTTTAGAAAACATGGACTTGAGAGACTTTGCTGTACCACAGGTATGAGACGATTCACTGGCCTCCTGTTGCTGAGGAATGCCATCCAGCTTGTCTTTGTCCTTCCAGATTGCTGCATTTTATCCTCTTGTCTGGGCACAGGATGAGGCAGCCACTGCATGACTTCCTTCTAGCCCTCAGGTCACACTTAGCAGTGGGGTCTGTATCTTGAGATCATATACATGTTTACCAAAAAGGCTTATTTTTTTGTTTGTATGTTTTTTTTTAATTTTAAGATTGTATTTATTTATTTTCAGAGAAGGAAGAAGTGAGGGCAAAAGACAAGCAGAAAAACATCAATGTGCAAGAGAAACATCGATTGGTTGCATCTGGTTTGCCCACAAAAGGGGACCAGGCCCACATCCCAGCATGTGCCCCAACAAGAAATCAAACTGGTGACTGTGTGGTTCGCAGGACAGTGCTCAATCCACTGCCCACACCAGCGAGGACAGAGCTTAATTTTTTATATGTGATCTTATCCTTCTGGGAATTTTCTCTTAAATGACAAAAATATGTGAGCAAACAGCAAAAGGCACCTGTCGTAACATTCCACTTATAGGAAATGTCCAGAATAACTTAAAAAAAAAGACACAGAAAGCACATCAGGGGTTGCCAGGGAAAGAGGTGTGGGGAGTGAGTACTTTTGCTGCAGGTTTCTTTTTTGGCAGATGGAACATCCTGCACCTGGTCAGTGGTGAGGCTTGCACAGTGTCATGAGTGTATATCATGCTCAGAAGTAGCACAATTTACAATTTAAAGAATAAAATTTATTTAACACTTTAAATTAACCATGCCATGGAGAAAGGGAAAATGCAACAATTAAACAGTATAAAAGGAGAAGGTCAAACAGGGGAGGTAACACAACTTCGGGTGGGAGTGGGAGAACCGGAGGGATAATACGCAGCTCCAGAACTGGCCCAGGTGCACTTTGCAGAGCCAGCTCCTCCCCAGTGGTGGCAACCAGGGCAGGTTCCAGGGAGGACTCTTCAGGCAGGTGGAATGGGGCCTCCATAAGGTCAGCAGATGATGCAGAGCCTGGCCCGGGCTCCACAGCTACAGCTAGAGTGGTCACTTGAGGTGGCACCACCCTTGGCAATGGGCTGCTCTCCTGGCCTGGAGTGTCATCCCTGTCTGACCCTATAGCCAGCTCCTCCAGGTGTTGGACAGGTGCTGAATCAGGAGCTTGGTCTGCCTCCTGGGCTCCTACTGGATTCATGAGAGGAGAAAAGATCACCCACATGCCCGAATTTCCATGTCCCCTACCCAACAGACAGAATACAGCCAGAGCCTTCTGGAGAAGCCACAGCCAGGACATCGTCTCTGCGGGCAGTCCAGCAGATGGGTGGTCTGAGTCTGATCTGCACTCCAGGGCAGCCTCTGTGGGTGCCTCCTGTGTATCTGGCACCAACCCCTCCCTGTAAGCTTACTTGTACCTCACCCACCACACACACCCACCTCTTCCACCTTCTCACCCTTTGGATCTTCCTCCTTGGAAACTGCATCATTGAACTCAGGTGTGGTAACCAGGCCACCGTGCTCCAGGACCAATTCTGAAAATGTCAGTTCCATGTAAAGCCTGGCTGACTTCAGGGGAAGAGTCTTTTTCCCATCCATGGGCCCTGGATCCCCAGATCCATGTGTAGAGACAAGGCTGGAGACTTCATCTACCATCTGTTGGTCCTCAAGGACCTTTCTTGACCTCTGCAATGATAATAACCGGCAGCCGGTCCCAAGGCCTCAAGCTCTGATGGGCCCTAGTAGCTGCTATTCCTGACCACTGTACCTTCTGCTCCAGAATCAGGCCCAGACCTGTGTCTCTCAGACCTACACACAGGGGCAATGAGGTTCACCTCCCAGGCTTGGGATGAACTTTGGGCAGAGGATGCCATCCATACTCCACATGAACCCACCCAGCCTTGACCTACAGTTGAACGTGACCGGCCAACCAGAATTCTTTCCTGTCTCAGCCTGTACCTGCTCAGGGAACCCCCTGACACACATGTGCACACACAGGTAGGTAACATATAGGGTTGCTGAGGTGGAATCATAGTGATGGCCTGGCCCGAACAAAACTGCCCTAGGCTCCCTGTGTGTTACCTCTCTGTTCCCCTGTGAAAAGGCGTTGACGCTGAGTCTGGACCCAGCAGCAGCTGCGATGAACCACACTATCACCGCCTCTTCTTTCGAGGCCTTGGCCTTGGGATAGGGGCAGACAACAAGCAAACATCCTGCTACATGAAATACATCCATCTAAGTCAGCTAAGTGAGAACGTGGCTGCCTAGTTACCAGGGTTCCAAGTTCTGCTGGGCTCTATTATCAGGGAGTGAGGTCACTGTCTGGATCCTCTATCCTGAGGGTCTCCTCAGACAGGAGCACTGACCCCTGCCTGAGGAACCCTCTCCCCCACAACTGCCCCACTTCCAGGCACAGCACAGGGACTGACTCAGACATGCCTCAGGGTCACCTCTATAGCCGCTTATTGAACCAATACTTTCTGTCCTACCAGAATTTGTTTGTTCCACCTCTATGACATTTTAACGTATTTTCTTTACAGTGTGATTTGTTATGTTATCACTGAAAGTTACTGTTTTTATTTTAAATTGTGCCACTCCAGAGCATGATGCACTATCAGATGCTGTGCAAGCGTCACCACTGTGCAGCTGCAGGGTGTTCCATCTCCCCAAAAGGAAACCTGCCCCACAAAGATACAGTCCTTCTCCTCCCCACCCTGCCAGCCCCTGATGTGCTTTGTGTCTCTGCTCCATTACCTACTCTGGACAATTTGATGAACAGGATCTTACAATAGGTGCCTTTTTGTTTCTGGTCACATATATTTGTTATTATCTGAAATACCATTTCTGTTATTTAAAGGGACTTTCCAGACAGAATAGAGAGCAGTTGAAAGAAAAGAAGCCCTTTTGTAAGTTTGTGCATAATCTCAGGGTAGGGATGTATGTTCTAAATGAGACACAGGGTCAGAAGTCATTTAAGACTATTCCAAGAATTTCAAGAGGTTGGAAGATTCCAAAGCTAATTTTACAAGTTCAGCATTATGCTAATTTTAAAACCAGATAAAGATGAAGAAAAAATTATAGGACCATATTTTGGATGACCATAGATGCTATAATCCTCAATAAAATACTTGCAAACTGTTCAAGCATTACATTAAAAAATCATACACCCTGACCAAGTGGGATTTATTCTGGAAATGCAAGGTTGATACAATATACACAAATCAAAAATTGTGATACACTACATAAACAAAATGAAGCATCAAATTAAAATGATCATTTCAATAGATGCTGAAAAGCATTTGATAAAATCCAGCACCCATTTATGACGAAAACTCTCAGCAAAGTGGGAATACAGGGAACATACTTCAACATAGTGAAGGCCATATAAGATAAACCCAGTCAATGTCATACTCAATGGGCAGAAACTAAAAATATTTCCCTTAAGAGGAAGAAGTCAAGGGTGTCCACTTTTACCACTCCTGCTGCACTTAGTACTAGAGTGCTTGACACAGCAGTCAGAAAAATAAAAGTCATCCAAAATGTAATGGAAGATATAAAACTGTCATTATTTGCACACTACATGACATTATATATAGAGAACCCTAAAGGTTCCACCTGGAAACTACTCAAACTGACACATGGATTGGATGAAGTAGCATGATATAAAATAAATATCCAGAAATCAGTTGAGTTTTTGACACCAATAATAAACTATCTGAAAGGAATATTAAGAAAACAGTGTCACTGACAATTGTTTAAACAATAATAAAATAAAATACTTAGGAGTAAGTTGACCCAAGGAGGGAGAGCATTTTGCTCAGTCTATTGAGATCAGGTTCCCAGGTGTACCACTGTTTGGCTCAAATAAAGTTTTGTAGAAATTCCAAATAAAATTCACCAATGTGGTAAATAAAAAATATGTGGTAAAAGAAGATAGAAAATTCTGAGACACTGAGGAAAGAAATTGGAGCTACAAATAAATAGAAATATATCCTGTGGTCATGAACAGGCAGAAACATTTGTTAAAATGTCCATATCATCCAAAACAATGCAGAGATTCAAAGCATTGCTTTTAACACCTTAAACTCAGAAACACTCCAGATAGCAGGCTTCAGACCACAGGAGAGCAGGACTCAATGAGCTCCAAATGTGGAACACCCAAAGGTACATCTTTGGCTGGCACCAGACACTGCAGGGCCAAATTCAGCTTTGTGAGGTCTGCCCCAGAGCAGCAGCTCATCACACACTGTGGTCGGAGCCAGTCCTCAGAGTCAGCCAGTCTGAGGGTCAGTCCCACCCACGGATGGGCCAACAGCAATGAAGACTCAACTACAGCAGGAAGCTCTCATAACGAACACAAGGGACATTCCTGCCACACCTAGCAGTGAGCCCCACAGGGCACCCACTACATAAGGCCACCATACTGAGACTGGGAGACTCAGCGGAATTACCTAATGCACAGAAACAAAATCAGGAAAGCAGCCAAAACAAGGAGACAGAGACAAAGAAAGATGCCCCACAGGAAAGAACAGGAGAAATTCCCAGAACAATTACTAAGTGAAGTGGAGACAAGCAGTCAAATAGATACTGACCTTAACATAGCAGTTAAAAAGGGCCATCAAGAAACTTAGGGGAACTTCCGGCCAAGATGGAGGCATAGGTAGACACACCGTGCCTCCTCGAACATCCAAAATAAGGACAACAATTTAGAAACAAACAAAAAAAACAGAACTGGCAGAAAATTGAACTGTATGGAAGTCCAACTGTATGGAAGTCCACTCCTTTCACAACCAAGGAGTGAAAATAGACAAATTCATCCAGACCAGTAGGAGGGGTGAAGTTGGGCAGCCAGGTGGAGAGAGGTCTCAGCAGAAAAAGGGGTGGCACCAGGCATACAAGGCAGCAGCTGACAAACCACAGGCATGCAAGATGGCAGTGGGCGGACCCTGGGCACACAGGCAGCGGCTAGCAGACCCTGGAAGTGGGGTGGCAACAGGCAGACCCAGCGAGGTAGCGGATTGTGAAGCAAGGCATGGTGCACAAGGTGGCTAGCTGACTGGGTAGTCACACATTCACGCACAGATAAACCAAGCAAGCTGGGGAGTGAGACAAACCATGCAATCCAGGGTTCCAGCGCTGGGAAATAAAGCCTCAAAACACCTATTGAAAACACCTATGGGGGTAGAGGTGCAGGGAGAGACTCTCAGCCTCACAGGCCAGTTTGTTGGAGAGACACACAGGGTCCTAGAACATACATAAGCCCACCCACACTGGAATCAGCAACAGAAAGGCCCAGTTTGCTTGGAGGAAGCGGGGGAAGGGACTGAAATCCAGCAGAGAGAGGAGCAAGTGCCATTGTTCCCTCTCGAACCCCTCCCCCACATACAGCATCACAATCCAGTGACTGGGTTGACTCCCTCTTGTGAACACCTAAGGCTCTGCCCCTTACTACAAAACAGGCGTGACAAGACAAAAAAAAAAAAAATGGCCCAAACATTAGAACAGATCAAAGCACCAGAGCAAATACAACTAAGTGACAAAGAGATAGCCTGCCTATCAGATGCACAGTTCAAAGCACTGGTGATCAGGATGCTCACAGAACTGGTTGAATTTGGTCCCAAATTAGGTAAAAAAATGAAGGCTACGCTAAGTGAAATAAAGGAAAATGCACAGGGAACCAATAGTGATGGGAAGAAAACTGGGACTCCAATCAATGGAGTGGACCAGAAGGAAGAAAGAAACAATCAAACAGAAAAGAATGAAGAAATACAAATTCAAAAAAATGAGGAGAGGCTTAGGAACCTCCAGGACATCTTGAAACCTCCCAACATCTGAGTTATAGGGGTACCAGAAGGGGATGAGGAAGAGCAACAAGTGGAGAAGTTATTTGAACAAATAATAAAGGAGAACTTCCCCAATCTGGCAAAGGAAATAGACTTCCAGGGAGTCCAGGAAGCTCAGAGAGTCCCAAAGAAGTGGGACCCAAGGAGGAACACACCAAGGCACATCATATTACATTACCCAAGATTAAAATGAGGAGAGAATCCTAGAAGCAACAAGAGAAAAGGAAACAGTCACCTACAAAGGAGTTCCCATCAGACTGTCAGCTGATTTCTCAAAACAGACCTTGCAGGCAAGAAGGGACTGGAAAGAAGTATTCCCAGTCATGAAAGGCAAGGACCTACATCCCAGATTGCTCTGTCCAGCAAAGCTTTAACTTAGAATGGAAGGGCAGATAAAGTGCTTCTCAGATAAGGTCAAGTTAAAGAGTTCATCATCACCAAGCCTTTATTATCTGAAATGTTAAAGGGACTTATCTAAGAAAAAGAAGATAAAAAACATGTACAGTAAAATGACAGCAAACTCACAATTATTAACAACTATACCTAAAACAAAAACAAAAACAAACTAAGCAAACTACTAGAACAGGAACAGAACCACAGAAATGGAGATCACATGAAGGGTTAGCAACAGGAGAGTGGGAGGAGGAGAAAGGGGGAAAAGGTACAGAGAATAAGTAGCATAGATGGTAGGTAGAAAATACACAGAGGGAAGGCAAGAATAATATGGGAAATGTAGAAGCTAAAGAACTTATGACACATAGACATGAACTAAAGGAGGGAATGTGGGTGGGAGGGTGTGCAGGGTGGAGGGGAATAAAGGATGGGGGAAAATGGGACAACTGT